GCTTTAAAATTTATTGACATATTTTGACAATATTACCTAGTCTTATTTTAAGAATGATAATGAATCTGAGTATGTAATAAAAATATGGTGTACTATTAAAAAAATACAGCTTATTAATGTTGCAACTTTATGAAACACCTTGTATATATATGTATATATTTTTTAATCATTTCACCCCCAAACAAGATGGGAATACCATTAGTATGTAGGAGGTTACAGGGAGTGAAAGTGAGGGGAGATTGAGGAAAGGACAAAGATGAATGGGATTCAAGAAGATAGAAGATGGTGATTGATGTTACATTAAAATTTTTGAAGATTGTAGTTATTAGAGAAGCAAGTAAATGGGAAGAAGTTCCACAGGCAGGAAGTGTGAGGAAAGAAACTGTTGCAGCAGAAGTGGCACTTGCATTTAACTTTCAACAGTAAATGCTTGGAACCAAGATGTCAATCTAGTAGCTTGCTTAAATTCATATAGTTGGGAGAGCAGGAAAAAGATCTTGTCAGAGCAATTGCCATGAAAATATTTGTAGAAAAGACATGGGCAAGCCATAGCATGTTGGAGAGAAAGTGACTGAAATCAAAATACCAAGTCAGGATTGATTACATTACAGATCCTTCTTTTGATTTTTTCAAACACCTTGAGATGAATATATGTCAGATATGTCAGCAGTATTCAATGCATGGATGAATGGTACATTTGTAAATGTGCAAGATGGACTTCTGGCACAACACTGGCCCAACTGTCCTTGCAGTTGATGCAGCTATTGACTCAATGTAGTTGCTATTTGAAATTATTTTCAAAATAGAGACAGTAAAGACTTTTTCAACTTTTCAGTTAATTTATTTTTCAATAACTCTAGCCATTTTGACACTATCAGATGTATTTTATTCATTTTCATTTTAATTATATCTGTATTTATATCTATTATTTATTTATAATTAATTTTAATTTATTTTATTTTATTTTATTTATTTTTTATAGGGCTCCATGATTCCTGAGCTTCAAATATGAGTAAATGATCAAGAGATACAGACAGAAAGTGGCAGTAAGAAGAGGGCATTAGCAAAGACTAAGAAAGCTGAAGATGAGAAAAAAAAAAATTGTTCTAGATTTCTTTGCAGAAATATATCAGTCTTTGTGACTTCATATGTAAATGAGTCGCCTCAATTAGTGTGAAGGGTGTTGTATTGCAGCTGAGACCAGTCAACATGTTCATTGACAGGGTGCAGTTTCTTCCAGTCAAACACTTGTGGCTTAAAAACTTCACTTTGGACAAATTGAGTGAAAAACAAAATTTCTAACAGTAAACAAGGTTTTATTCTTGGGTTGTAACCTACTGCAATAAGTGAGCAAAGTTGAAATGAGGCATAGGTGGGTGTGAAGTTGAACAGTTTAACAGGTATCTTCCCTGTCCATTGGTCTCTGAGGCCCACTTCACCTCTCTGTGTATTTTTTGGGGGTACTGGTCAGTTTTATAGTTAGTATGGTTCTTTGTCTTGTCTAAAAAAGCAATTTATCTTTTCACACTGATAACCATACATTATTTCAAGGGTGCTAAGAAGTCACCATGCTCCTAATGTATATTATATGAGGAAGAACTGAAATGTTTTGGGCCTGACCAGTAAAAAAAAATAATTCTGTTTGGTCAGATTTTGGTAAATGGGATAGGCTTAGAACTTTTCAGTAGTTCTTCAGAGTTTCTCATGATACAATTCAAAGATTTGGGCTGGGGCTTTATTTTACAGATTTTTTCTTTTTTTTTTTGAATTTCTCAAATTGTTATTCTCCTATTCACAGTTTGGTTTCTTGTTTTCTCTGGAATTTTTTTTTCTATTTTATCATTTGTAATTCTCCTTATTTTACTATTACTCTGTGTTTTCCCACCATTTTATTTTTTTTTTATTTCACAGTTTCTCCTTGTCTTCTTTTGTTTTTAATTCTTCTAGGAATATTTTTCTTTGCTGGAAATTACCTTTTGGGGGGGGGATTTATATCATTTTTTTTTTTATTTTTTATCTCTGCCTTTTTCCCACCTCTCGTTTTCTCCTACCTTATTTCTTTAGCATTTGAATTCCCTGCACCTCCACCACTTGCAGCAAACCTAGCTAAATCCAATCTAAAACACAACCTTCTCTCTGCCTCTGTCATTATCGCTAATTACCCTTACTGTTTACTAATTATTTCTAATATCCTTTTCTAATGAAAATGCATTTCTGCTTTACATAAAATGTTGCATTTTGCATTTGCTGTTAAAGTTGAAGGCAGTGAATCCATATAATTACTTGGAATGCATGTCTTTTTATTGCATTACTTGGTGGCTCAGTATTGATGAAGTTAAAGATACTGGCAAGGTTACCTCACATTACCAGGATAATAAAATCACCAAGGATCATTGATAACTTTTCTTGGATAATTTTTCTCTCTCTGTTGAAAGCTGATTATTAGATTTCTTTTTGTGTGGGGTCTGCTTTTTTTTCATTGTAAGCTGTGTACAGTTTCATTTAAGAATGAGTGGTTGCTGTTAAAGTACAGGTAAAAGCCAGAAATTCAGGATTTTTAAGGTAGACAGTCTCCTTTGTTGTTGAGTTCAAATTCCAGAATCAGCCTGCCCTTCCCTACAGTGGCTTGTTCAAGTTCCAGCCAAGCCAGTCCCTTTTCTATACTGTTTTCAAATTCCAGCCGAGGCCATTGTTTTCTCTTTTCCACAAATACTTTTTGGAAAAGTATGAGCCCATCTCTTCTTATCACAGTGATAGGTTAATAACAGGCTAAACTAGGCTCTCTATCATTTTTTGGTCTAGGAGAAAGATGACTTTGAATTCAAAACTGATCGTGTATGTGGCTATCATCTCTATCCTATAAAAAACCTGCTTGCTATGGAAACCACAACAGCCATATCATGGTGAGTCTGTGGCGCTATACATGGTGTCAACAGGATTAATAATAACACAACCTCTCTAACATGACTGAGTGATGAAACACAATTATCAATTTCCTATATGGCCCTGTGATAGGCAAAAATATTCTTCATTGTACCTTTTTAAGACATGACAATATATGTACCATCTATAAGGTTGAATAATTTCCATTTTTGGGAACCAGTTGTAATGATGAATGCATCATCCTAACTATTAATAATAAATATTATTAATAATAAATATTATTAATAATAAATATTATTAATAATAAATATTAACTGGCAGTTAAGAATAAATTTTGAATACACTAACATACCTTGCATGGTAATGGCAACATACACAATGAACTAAAGAATAAATTTAATTCCAAGGTCTTTGATTTTGTTAGCAATTATTTGACTAGATGGATTTGTTGTTAAAGATAGATATCAAGAACCACCTAGAGACTTTCTTCATATTTTTTATATATATTTCTGAATGAGTTTGGTGCTATGCATAGCATCCATATGAAATCTGATGAGACTATTTAAGAGCATGACTCAATGCTTTAGATTAATGTTTATTAATCAATATCACCCCATGCAAGGTAGTAAAGTTACTAAGACACAAAGGTTTACTTAGTGGGTGTGGAAGAATTAGGAACAGAAACATGGATAATGAGTTGAAAGAGAAAAGAGTAATCAGGAGGGCAGTAGATAGCTATTGATATTGCATTTAAATTTTTGCAGATTATAGTTGGCTGGAAAGCATGGAGCTGGAAGAAGAGAGAAAAGAAACTGTTAGCCTAGAATTTACAACTACATCTAGCCAGCTCAACTGTAAATTGATGAGATCTTGATGGCAGTCTGGTACTGTGCTTAAATTAAAAAAGTCTTGGTACCATAGCAAAAAGCTTATCCAAACAATTATGATGACAATAGTTTTGTAACTGCTTGCATCATTAGACAAAACAAGCTCTAGCACATACTATTCTATTTTAAGGCATTTTCATGTTTATACATTCTTCTTATAGATACAAATATTTAAGTAAATGCTCTGTTTATAATAAACAGTATTAAACAACATTTATCGGCCTGAATGTACGAGAAATTTTCATAGAAAATATTCGTCCTCTGACAGGATTCGTACCTGTATCCTATACGGAACCGTCACATAGCCTGACATGCTATATTCATCCTTCGATGAATGATTGAAGTTTAAAAGCAGTAAATTCAACCTTGCTAACCGAACAATCCTCTGTGGCTGAATCGGTAAAAGCATGTCAGGCTATATGACGGTTCCATTTAGGATACAGGTTTGAATCCTGTCGGAGGATGAATATTTTCTATAAAAATTTCTCAGACATTCAGGCCGGTAAATGTTGTTTAATACTGTTTATTATAAACAGAGCATTTACTTAAATATTTGTATCTATAAAAAGAATGTATAAACATAAAAATGTCTTAAAATAATTGTTGGACTTTGTCCATTTCATACTATTCTATGTTCAATTTCCTTATATCAATAGTATATTTTTTCTTACAGATCTTTAATCCAAAATCTATTGCATGTACGCATCTACTGATTATAACTCTGCTATAGTATTTATTAGAATATATTACCTTTTCTGTAATGTATCTCTGTTTTAGAAGACCTTTACCTCAAAGAACCTAGCGACCAGCTCAGATCACTTGCAATGCAGGGAGGATAAAGACTGTACAGTGACAGTCTATTGTTCAGGGTCACATTTTATGCTTTCTTAGTGAACAAATGTCAGTTAAACCAAAGAGATAGTGTATCTTCACAGCAACCATGAGTTGAAATTCTGACTGCTTTTTCTTATATGTTACACATCTCTTCAGAACATAATAATCATATTTTCATATCCGTTGTGGTCCTTAGAAGTTTTTCTCCCTTTGCTAAGTCTCTTGCCCCATTTTCCATCATCCATTCACACATGCTCATCAGGTAAGTGGCTAACTCCTTTCCTCTATCTCTCTTGATCTCTGTATGCCCTGTGAGTGTTAACTTTTCTGAGCCATCCTTCCTCATTATGAATACAAGAAATTTCAGCTGTTTGTTCCTGATTCTGAGTATAAGTATTAATCATTCATCATAATGTTCCTTTGAGGATTATTTGAGGAGATAGATAGATAGATAGATAGATAGATAGATAGATAGATAGATAGATAGATGAGTATACTGAAATATATAGACAGATAAATAGGTATGAGCATACTGCAGTAGATAGATAGATAGATAGATAGAGAGATAGATATGAGCATACTGCAATAGATAGATAAATTGAAAGATATGAGCATAATGCAATAGATAGGTAGAGAGATAGTTATGAGCATACTGCAATAGATAGATAGATAGATAGATAGATAGATATGAGCATACTGCAATAGATAAGTAGGTAGATAATTATGAGCATACTGCAATATATAGACAGATAAATAGATATGAGCATACTACAATTGATAGATAGATAGATATGAGCCTATTACAATAAATAGGTAGATAGATGTGAGCCTATTGCAATAGATAAATAGATAGTTATGAGTTTATAGAGAGATAAATAGATATGAGTATACTGCGATAGCTAGTTTAGCTAGCTAGCTAGCTAGATAGATAGATAGATATGTGTATACTGCAATAGATAGTTAGGTAGATAGATATGAGCATATTGTGATAGATAGATAGATAGATAGATAGATAGATAGATAGATGGATAGTTATGAACATACTACAATAGATAGATAGATATGAACATACTACAATAGACAGACAGATATGAGCATACTACAATAGACAGATAAAAAGATATGAACATGCTGCAATAGATAGATAGATAGACAGACAGACAGACAGATAAATAGATAAATATAAGTATACTGTAAACTAATTGAGATAGATAGATATAAATGAATAGATATAAGCATAGGCAGATAAATGGAGAATTAACTGATATGTATGCACAGGGATAGATTGATGCAGTAAAAAATTCAGGTATTTGGCAAAAATAAGAGAATTGGATATCATATTCAAAAGAAAAGTCAATGAAACACGTTTGAATGAAGCAAGTCATATGACTAGCTTATATGCTTTAAATATATGTCATGGTAACATGGCATTGGCCATGAAATGCATATAAAGCAAGCACTAAGTAAGAGTGTAGAAACATCTTGACTCAGGAAGTATTCACAAAGCATTCCTTTGTCCTTGTCTTTTGGGTGACCAGTGCCTTAAGTCATGTGGGCTTGGATACTCCAATCAGGTTCTTGAAGGTGGTCAGATGACTTGAAATAAAGCAAGCTGGTTACATATTCTACCTCTTTTTCTCTCTCCATTCTATATCTGAATGAATTTAGCAGATGCAATCAACCATAGGAAAGCAAGTTATATTGCATTTTCTAACAACTAAACAGAAGTTCAGTGACTGTTTCACAGGTTTTTCATTATATTATATTTGGGGCCATAAATGAGTTTCATAACCCAGCTAATCTTTATATTACAGATATTACCAGATTTATCCAAATAGAAATGAACAGACTGTTATAGATAGAAACATAATGAAGAAACTCAATTAGATAGATAGATAAATAGATAGATAGACTGAGATAGATAATGAGAAAACTCACATATATATTGTTGTGGATTCCGGGAATGGAATCCTGCACAAATAAATAAACAACGCCAGTAATTGAGATAGAAAAATAAGTGTATTAAACATAAGAATACAGACTTGAAGTGAAGATTAGTAGTCCAGGAATGTGGGTTAGTAGAAAGTATATGTACAAGTCTCTGTAAGTAAAGCCGTAATCATCTCTCTGTCTGGACTCTTGTATAACTCTCTGAGAACACCCTGTGTCTGTCTCTGTATCTCTCAACCTGTCTCAACGTATCTCAACTTATCTCCACGTATCTCAATGTATCTCAATGTATCTCCACAGCAGGTATTTTCTCTGTCAGTATAAGTATACTTTGAATGAGTCTATCTTATGTAAAAAGGGGAGAGCCCCACAACACATATATATATATATATATATATATATATATATATATATATGCATAGATAGATAGATAGATAGATAGATAGATAAAGAACAAACTCAAATAGATAGATATATAAACACATAATAAAAAAATCTCAAATAGATAGTTACATAATAAACAAACTCAGATAGAAATTTTCTAAAGATGCAATTGATTTTTTTATCTATTAATCTGACAGATATTTATCACTTTAAATGTTATTTGTAGTGGATACTCATATTTGAGTAAATGTTATTAAATAGTAGATTTATTTTTATCTACTAGCCTGAATATTCAAGAAATCTTATTAACGAAAAATATGCACTCTCCAGCAGAATTTGAATCTGCGTCCCACTGGGCAGAAGGAGACTGTCATTATAACCAATGTGCCTTAACTTGTAGAGCTTAAATTTTTCAAGCAAATGATTTATAAGCCAATTATCATATTATTGTGATTTAACGAAATTTTCATTGCCTAACAAATATTTAAATATATTTACTGTGTATTTACAGTGATTAAAACATATAGATAGATAAATTTGGAAAACTTATAAAAAAAACAGATAGACAGGAAGAGAACGATATAGATTTGTCATTTTGAACAGAAATATATAGATGTGTTATCTAGTGTTGTTATATGATATGTGTTTAGTAGTCATCTTCTGCCTATTTCTCTCTCTTTACTCTATACTTTATTTCTCTTATAACCATCATATGCAAACAGGTAAAATCCTATTTGCCAATCCCACGATACCTCGCTCAACTGAAGAGGTTCAATACCTTTGGTTGTTCTTGAATTTCTAAAATGTCTTTCCTCCTCTCTCTATTGAGGTTTATGTCTCATTTTTTTTAATGGAGATCTTGGTCTCATTTCATCTTCTTCTGTGTCAGAATCACTCCTGCTATCATCCATAGGCTCGTCTTCTATTACATTGTCCTGATCTGAAGAATTCATCCTTTCTTCTCTGTCAAGATCTTCTTCCATCACATCTTCCTCTTCAATTCAGGGTCTTAATTGGTCAGAATGAGCCATTAGGCTTTTTCATTTCTTTGATATAATGGCTGTGTTATGTCCCCTTTGTGAGATAAAACTAGCCCTCTCATGAGAGTTGCTACTTTGTCTTTCTTATACTACATTTTTTCATTTGTCGAGTAAGACATTGTTAAAGATCTTATTTGTCTTCCCATTAACTCAGATGTGCTTTGCAATCTGTGTGCATGTGGCATCATTCTATAACTAAGCAGTAACTATGATAAGTAAACTTCTATAGCATTTCTACTTGGGGAAAATGATTTTAATCCCATTTTTTCTGTCTGCATCATTCTTTCTGCAATCCCATTAGATTGTGGGTGATACAGTGGTGTTTTGTAAGGGAAGCAGCCAGTATGTTTCAACCAGTTACATAAATCTTCATAACAAAATTCTGGTGCATTGTCTGATACCAATGTTTTAGAAACCCCGTTTCTAGAAAATATCACTCTTAGTATTTGTTTTATGTAGTTGTTTTTCTGTCTTTAACGTTTAACATCTTTAGGCCATCCTGAAAAGAAGTTTACTAAAATTAGAAATAGTCCCATACCATTATTGTGTGCATAGTCCATATGAACATGAAACCATAGTTCTGTTTCTTTAGGCCATGATTGTATTCTCCTTTGTTGAAAATTCTTTATTTCTGCACGTTTTGGGCATTTATGTACATGTCTTTCTATATCATGATAAAACCCAGGCCACCGTGACTCCAATTTTAATCTCCTCTGTGTAGCAGTTATCCTACATGTTTTAAAATATCTGTCGAAGTTAGCTCCTCCTTTAGTTCGTTAACCCTTCCACCAGAGGTCTCTCTTCCCTGGCTATAAATACTCGCTGACCCTTTGCCTCTTCCTGTTTTGCCTCAGGCTTTCAGCCTTATGCCACCTTGCAGATGTGAATGCTCACAGATACAGTATTTTCCAAATGCTGGGAACACGCTAAGCACAATACACATATGTATGAACACTCACCACAACACAACACACGCATACTATTCACCACACACACTCTGTCAATGTAACTGTCCATGTAACTTGTACCTTTCTTGTTGTTATTAATACATATATTTGTTTACATATATTTATTAGTCTTGTGTTTGTTTGTTTGTTTTTCTTTGCCTTCTTTGGACTTTATTAAAGTCCAGCTTTCTCATGTAGTTGGATCGGCTAGCAGGAAATTTCTACCCGCATGTGTTCATCTACTTATACTCAACAACATTACCAACGTACGAAAGTCTACATAATGGTAATCTCGCCGATACAGTCCCCTACATATCTTTTTTTTAGTGTTTCAAGTAGTACTATCATATCTCCATTGAATATAACACTGTTTTACATCTTTAATTTATGTCTTATTTCTTTATAAGGTATTTCAGCTTTCTCCCACCTCTTTCTTCTTATTCTCTCAGTAATCTTGATTAATATTGGATCCTGTAGAGTTTCTGATGCCAATCTTTGGAGTGATAATATGTCAGTTTCAACTCAATATAATATTTTTTCATCTGAGATTTTCATTATCTTCTTTATGATCTTTATTAAATTGTAACTTTGACAGCACATTGACATGTGGTATTGTATTTTCTTTTATGTACTCAATGTCAAAATCATATGCTCTTAATGTTATTGCCCATTCCAGAATTCTGGAAGCAGTAACTTTAGGTAGCTCCTTTCTAGGTGTAAATATGTTTATGTCTGAATTTAATAGGAACTTCTTACCTAATAGAAATTGTTGAGTTCTGTCTGTATAACTAGTAGCGACTTCTCTTGAAAATGGACAAAATTTGGCATTGTGTTATTATCAAGTATCTGTAGAAAAAGGTTTTAGATCCCAAGAACAATCATGCTAACATGATTGCTATATTAGGGGTTTGCACTGAATTTAAGAATAAAAAGTCTTGAAGATGACCCAAGGTTTGGATGTTCTATGACTACCACCATCAAGAATAACATTGTGTTCACCACATGGTGATGGATGGTAGATGATTGAGTATTAATCAAATAGCCAGTGCTATAGCATATCCTGTGAGAGAGTTGAGAATATTCTGCACAATTTGGTAGCTTCTACGTCTTCTGACACCTGATCAAAAGCGCACCAAGCTGATCACATCCCGGGAAAATCTGACATTGTTTGAGGCAGATCCAGCTAGTTTCCTTGAGCATTTCTTAACCCAAGATTAGTTTTGGTTTTATCACTTTGAGACAGAGATAAAGAGACAATTCATAAAGTGGAAATATCCTTCCTCACTTGCTCCAAAGAAATCCAAGGTCATTCTATCTGCAGGGAAGTGATGGCCTCAGTTTTGAGGATGCAAAAGGCATTGTTTATTGACTATCTTCCAAAGAACCACACCATCAATGGAGAGTACTATGTCAACTTGCTGAGGCAGTTGCGAAAGTCTATCAAGACAAAATGTCCAGGAAAATTGATGAAATGCATTTTGTTTCATCAGGACAATGCTCCAGCACACAAGTCCTTGGTTTTAATGGCTGCTTTGAGTGACAGTGATTTTAAAAGAGTTGATCACATTCCCCATTCTCCTGATTTGACTATCAAGTGTTCCTCAACTTGAAAAGTGTTGTAGCATACATACAGACGATAATGAGTATGTCTCCAGTCACATAAATACAGTAGTAAATACTGTATGTTGGTCTTCAGTTGGAGATTCATTGTGGAATTCCCTTGACACACTTCTAGCAGTTGACTACTTCTTCTATGCGCTGCTGGTGGATGTTATATGCGTTGTTCGTGTCCTAAGTATTATCGCTCATTACCAACCTTCGTGTGATTATTCTATTCAGTAACCTCCGATAAGTTACAACAAAAAGACCCTTGGCTGGAAACCATTATCGCATTATGATGATGTCATATCTATTGTTGATGACTTTTTGACCAACAGATTGAATAATCTTATTTGAACAGTCAGGTGTCAATTGATCTGATAAAAAAGAACAATGCAATTATTAACCTTTATCATTCTGTAGGTGACTATTTTCCTGCCAATGCAAGTAGTTGAATTTCTTGGTTGTGTAGTCTTATCTTTCTATGGCAACACCTAAAACAATCATGACTGAATATGAGAGCCACCTACTTCAATTTCAGATATATAGAACTAATATATAAAACATTATATTTTGAGGGGATTCCATACAGAGTAAAAGGGGAGTAATATTTATAAATGATACAGAATGCTAGATGTTAAAAAGTTTGCAAGATATCACACTTTAAGGATCTTCATAGTCAGCCTATGAACTTTACAGCCCACCATTGTAGATAATATTCTTATCTACAAGGAATATGAAATATAGATAGATATGTAGATATGAATAGACTAAGTTAGATACACAGACATGTAGATAAGAATAAATTGTAATAGAAGAGAGATAGATATATAGGTATGATAAGACTGAGATACACAGGTATGTAGACAAGAACAGGATGGATATGCAGGATGGATATGTAGATTGTTGTAGAGTAGCTAGCACCCATTCAGCACCCTACCAGATAGCCTGGCTCATAGCCTTAAATAGTCTATGATTAAGGACTTCAACAGTTGATTAATGAGTTGATACTAAGCTGATTAATATTCAGACTGACCTTACTTCATTTGGCTATACAGCATTTGACCCTCCTCTATTCCTTGTAAGTTGTCTTGTTAATTGTTTTGTAACTTATTGTTCTGTGTTTTTTGTATGTATCCATTAACAATGGATACTGGTGCTGAATAAATATATTAAGCACTCATCCTTCTCTGTGTATCAGTCACCTCGATGATACAACATAGATTTAAATAGACCCAGATATATACATAGATATGTAGATAAGAATATAATGTGTTAAAAATATACATATGTAGATGAGCAGGCTGAGATACATAGATATCATAGTTATGATAGAAAGAAAAATAGATATGTAGATATGAGGAGACTAAGATAGATATAAGAATAGAATGATGTCAACTAGTCATATTAATCAACCCCTAGAATATTGTTCTACTAATATTTAATTCATTATTTGCTGATATTTAATATTTAATTTGCTAATATTTAATTCATAATTTGCTGTATGTTTTAGACATATAGACTAGCTGTTATATTTTTGTTCAAAATATTTTTCACTGTCTAAACATTCTCTGCTGTTATTGAGGCATATCATTTTTCAAATAAGAAGTAAAGTGCTTGAAATTCACTTTTTTAAGCATTTCACGCCAAGCAAAGTGGGAGTGTCACTAGCATGCAAGGGGTTACAGAGAGTGAAAGTCAGAGTAAAGAGTGGTGTTTGAGGAAAGGATAAAGATCAAGGCATCAGATGTCAATTGACATTACAATTGGGGTTATCAGGGAAGCAAGTAAGAGGAAGAGAGTTTCACTGTTGGGAAGTGCAAATGAAGAAGCTATTGGAATAGAAGAGGAGGTTACATTTAACTGTTTTGATAGTGAAAGGGTGGGACCAAGATGCCAACATAGTAGTACGCTTAAATTCATGCAGTTGAAAATAGCTCATCAGAGCAGTTGCCATGAAAATAGTTGTAGAAAAGACAGAGGGAAGCCACATCATGTCTGTGAGAAAATGATCTGGAGTTGAGATGCCAGGTCAGGACCTATCACATTGTGTTGCATATCTGTCATTGGATTTTGTATAGTCATGTTTGAAATAGATGCCCTGTTTTTTGTTTTATTTTATATAGTGTGTATTATGACTAACATCCTGAGCCTTAGAAAAATACTTAATAAAGAAAATTTTCTTTCTGGCAGATTTCAAAATTGCGTCCCATTTTGTAGGAGAAATGACTGTTTGATCTGGTATGCTTCAGACTGTTTAGCCATGCAAAGTGACTTAGCTCAGCAAGGTTCTATTTTCCCCTTTAAGGAATATGCACCCTCTCATTCAGATTTCTTGAAAGTCCATACCTGCTTGATTTTGTATCTAAAATGTAAATGATGCAATTTCTAAAGAGTTAGCAATTCCTGATAAAATTCAAAGATGAATCAGAATATTATTCCTCCTGATCTAGCGGCTTGGCTTCAGTCACTTTCTCACTGCTGTAAAGTTTCTCTTTGGTGCCTTTTCTATTAAATACTTTCATGGTAATTGTTTCGATGAGCTTGTGTCAATCTATATCACACATACATACATACACAAATACAAATCACATACAACAACAAGCATTCATTGGTGAATTAATCACCACTATGTTATTAGAGACAATTTATAAATTGCAGCAATGTGACAATTTTGTAATCGCTCTATTTTCAATTTTGTGCACTTTTGGAAGAAATGGATCCCAGAATCTTTCTTAAGTCTCCCCAAAGATCACTCGCTGAATAGTCAATGCGAACCAATCAGATTGTCTGCACATGAAAAATAACTTTTCCCATGCAGCGGCCTGGAGCCTATAGTCACTTATATAAGCAAAGTTTTTCTTAGCTAACTAGCAGCATGGAACTGTTGTGCTTGATTCAAAAATCGTATAGTTCATACAGCAATTGCTATCACTTGACTTAAAAATATTTTTGCCTTCCTTGCCTTTAAAGGAGTTCCCTTTGTTGTGCTGATGTTGCTACATGCCTTTCTTGCCTATCTCACTTGAAAAATTTTTGTAAGCTCTATACTAAACATTAAATTTGTTACGAAAAAAGAACTAAACAAAATGAACACAAAAAGATCAGCTTTAAAAAAGGAATCATAACTGGAAAAACCGAATGAAAAAAGAATGTTAACAACAAATACTTTTTCACACCCAACCCAGTTCTGAGGAACCAGAATCAACGTTGAGTTTAAGCAAGCGAATGAGAGAATTGGAGTAAAGTGCCATGCAGATTTAAATTTTTCCCACTTGTGACAAATGCAGCTATCGAGCTGCTAGCTCTCACGCTGACCAATAGAATCTTCCTGCCTATTCGTGGCAGCCAGCTCTAGGCTCTCACCTTAGAAAATGGCCACAAACTACATGAAAACTGCCGTAGAAGCATGAAAAGCGATTATTTCACTATCGATGGAAGTTGGGAAATGCAAGGCCAGTCTTGGCCTTCCTGCTAACTTGTAGCATGTGCGTGTAAATTTTGGTGCAAATCCATTGAAAATTGCAGCCGTGCATTCATTACACACACATCCTGCCTTTCATAGATAGAGATTAGTGAGAATTCAGCTGCCGAACGAATCCCCGACAGTTGAAACCATGCGCCAACCTTCTCACTCACACCACCACTCACATGCTGAACATTTTTTATACACTCACATAATCTTTTCTTACAGAGCCAAATCTTCGGAAAACACTCATTATAAACATTCTTCCATTGAACTTTGAAATACAAAAATAATAGTTCAAGAGAGACAACTCTTGTTTTATTCAACCTTTTCTTACTTAGATGCATGCTTTCTTTTACATCATTGTTTGACAGTGTACATTTTGTTAAATACATATTTTATGTCTAATTTGCTTACCCTTTTCCACGTCAGTTTTGTTTCCTAATCTAAAGTTAAATTAATCTGGTGAAGTCCGTCACAAGCTCTTCACTGTGGTACCTAGACTTTATGAATTTAAGCACAGTACGAACAAGTTTTCATCAATTTACAGTTGAATTGGCTAGATGTAACTGATTTACATTGGTGATAAGAAATTATAGTCAATTGTCGGTTCATTCGGAGTACAACTGTTTATCATAACAAGAGAAAATTTAGGGTCTTCTCTGATAACATAACATTACTAGCTTGGTTTTGGAGGTATTAAATGTTACAAGTTATTTTTCCCCATTGAGCTGTTAGAGCATGATCAGAGGAAAGATCAGCTGCCAGGATCTGTGTATGTGCATGTTGTTCCAAGGTAATACTTTGAAGTGGATTAAGGCAACAATGTCCTAGGTAGGCTATTTTTTGATAGTACTCAATGGCTAGATTATTTCCAGATATACACTGGTTCAGTCAATAAGGAATACACTTGTTCTGCCCAAGCAGCTGCAAGAGACGATATCATCCTATCATCTCTTGCAGCTGCTTGAGCAGAAGAAGTGTATTTCCTAGGGAAATTTGTTTGGTGTTTTTTTGTTTTTTTCATTTTTGTCTCTTCTCTTCAACAATGGTTCTGTAGTTTTTCTTAGAAAGGAAGATAACTTGGAAGGCATCCATGTTTTCCTGTTAGAAGGAGATGAAGGTAAAGAGATAGGCAATAGACTGGCCAAGAATTTATCTCAGGCCATTCTACAAGTGCTACTGGTAATATATCACTACCTGCTGCATGGTCAGGTCATTGGTAACTAAACTGGTTCCCCCCATCAAGCTTTTTTGATGAGAAGGGTGACTAAATGCCCAGTAGAATTAAGAACAAAAGCTGTCAAATGGCAGATAAACCTTCTTGCAGGGTCAACAACCACCTAGCAGGCTTACAGCCACATCACATTGAAACTCTGGTTCTTATACAAATGACAAAGTTAAGCAACAATGAGCCTGAACATCCCCTAGATGGGTGACCAGTTAGGAAAATCAAGTGCTGGATGTGAGGATTACATTAATAAAATGGTCACAGGTCATTATTAACTTACAACCATAAATGGTTATAACTGACAGCTTATAAACCTATCTAGTTTTAAGTTGGCCTGTAATTAATTTTGCAAGCTTTCTTTAGGTATTATTTTATTTTTTATAATTTTTTACTGTTACATTACATTTGATACCATTTGTATCATCTCACTACACATTGTTTTGTTTCTTATTTTTATGTCTGTCAGGTTTAAGTCAAAAATTGATTACTTTTTTTTTTTAATTGGTATCACCCCAAGTAAGGTAAGAAAGACACTAAGACACAAGGTGTGACAGGGTGTGGAAGAATTAGGAAGAGAAACAATAATGATTAGCAGAAAGAGAAGAGAGTACTTAGGAGGACAGCAGATAGCGATTGACATTGAATTTAAATTTTTGAAGATTAAATTTGGCTGTAAAGCATGAAGACAGAAGGGGAATTTCACAAGTGAGAAGTGCAAGAGAAGAAACTGTTAGCATAGAACTTTCGGCTACATCTAGCCAGGTTAACTGTAAATTGATGAGATCTTGATGCCAGTCAAATACTGCACTTAATTTAAAAAAACAAACTGTAGTTACCATAGTGAAGAGCAACATTTATTTATAGGATAATACAAAATGCAGCACGAGGCCAAAATGGGGAATTAAATTTAAACTTAGCCACGATCACTGACCCAAACATACCATAATATTCCTCACACCAAAAAACTCATTCTTTTACCCTTCTTACTAAATCCACCACAACATCTCAATATCTCCATAAAAATCATAACTAGTCCCCATATGTACAGTTTCATGTCTCTGAGGGAAGAGCTCATCTGAACAATTACCCTGAAAGTATTTATAGAAAAAGTACAAAGAGGCAAACTTACAGTGCTGGGAAAGTGAGTGGAGCCGAGCTGGCAGATCAGGACCAATAATATTGCTGATTTTTATTGGATCTTATCAAGGAGCTCAAGGTAAATAGCAGGGGCACTGAACCATATGTGGAAGCAATATTCTAAGCATATATGAATGGTAAACTTATAGATATGTAAGACAGATTCTGCTACACCTGCAGTTGGCTTAATATTTGCTAAACATGCGTATTTGTAGTTGACACCTGCTTGTATTCAAGCATCAGATCATCAGTCTCACTCTTTATTCCCTTTTTTCTCCTTTGTGGTGCTGGCAGAGATGGCTGTGAAGGTCCAGCCTGCTTCTGAAGAGTTGTGAGCAGGAGTCAAAGGAGTGTGGGCAGTGGACACAGCTGGATGAGTTGAGCCCTCCTGATGGCATGTTGCAGAAATTCTTCATGTTTACAGTTGGACTTGAAAGTCTTGGCCCTCCATTTCTGATGGTCCTACACCATCAGCAATGGTTTCCCAGGTTTCAAGGTTGAAAACATGCAAGAATGAAAATACAGGTGCAAAAAATGAAAAACATTTTAGTTGAAAAAATACCAAAATACATACAAATACAAAACATTATATTAAATGGTTGTGGCTGGTTGTGGATCATCAGCTGGGGTACAAACTTGGTGTAAAATGTGTTATACTAAGGCTGCTGAATATTATATACTGAATTATACAACCAAGAGTTGTACCAAATATTGGCACTGCCAGGAGCTAGAGTGGAGATTGTTATACACCAGTCTGGGAAAACACACAGGTTAGACATACCAATTCTTGGGTGTGACCATAAAGTTGAACAGTTATAAGTTGCATAGGTTGTAAGTTGACAATGACATGAATTAGTTCAGTGATTCCCAAACTTTTTCTCTGGACGCATTTTCAGAATGAAAACTTCACATCTCAACAAATTTTATGTGATAAAATGTACATTAAAAAACCCCCAAAAAACAGAGAAATTTAAAGGGAGATGACTGCAGGTTCAAAGTCAGAACATTATCATGGATAACTCTCTTCTCCAATTTGGGGAACCTAGTTACTATATTCTTAATATTTGATATAATGCAAAAATATCACAATGATAAAATCAGTCAATAATTATATATAACTATTTATACTGGGACTCATGCAGGCAATTACAAGTAATCTATAATATTTTCAATTTTGAAATTATATTTATTTTTGGTATATGAATTTTTTGAAATCTTTGGTTGTCTTTCAATCATTCCCCTTACCAGCTATTCTCTTCTGTCACACCGATGAGGTAACCCACTCCATTTGGAAACCGCTGTATTAGATGGAAGAAGTTCTTTTACGGAATGAAACACATTACTAAGAAGTTTTTCTATTTTGTCATTCCCTTACCTATGATTAGTCTGATAATAAAGATAATCAATTCACAGCTAATAAAAAAATAAAATATGAAGACAGCCATGATCATGAACATCCTGAAGGGACATGACATTAAAAAAAAAAAATATTTAATAATTTGGAGCCTGGAAATTGAGTTCTGAAAATGGCCATGTCAAAATACTTCTGAAAAAATAACCAAGCAAGAGAAATGCATAAAATTAGATTTAATCATGAATGCATAAAACATTGATTTGCAAATGAAAAGAAGATTGTGAAGAAGGTGAGCATTTCTAGTAACTGTCACTAAATCTATTTACTAAGTTTAGATTAGTCTTGGATCAGACAAACTGGTGTGAATCATCTACTGGTTGTAATGATAAAAAATAGACATTTATAGTGTTTTGTCAGAATATTTTTAAATTTATACAGTCTAGGTATTAATTTGCCTTTAAAAAATATGATGATGTTGGTGGTGGTGGTGATGATGATGATGTTGATGATGATGATGATGATGATGATGATGATCTATGTACCTTGTCTCTTCAGGACTATGTCGATGGTGGCTCTCCACAATCTTCTTCCCCCTTGTAGCTCTTAATAAATTTTGTCTTTTTGTTATCTTTTCTAAACCTTGTTCTGCCATCCATTTACTGAGGCTCGCTAGCTAGGTTATGTGTTCCGTGTACATCCAATTTTCCAAGCCCTTATAATGTACCCTAGAAATTTCAACTGTCTCTTTCTGTTGTTTAGTATAAGTTACCTTTTGTCTAAAATTTTTTCACTACATGCATATAAGTGTGTATATATATATATATATATATATATATATATATACGCACACACTTCAATTCAAGGGTCACTTGTTATCTATCCTCCTTATCCTTATAATCTTCACTTCCTACCACCTCTTCTTACATTCATATCACACACCTCATTCATCATAACCATTTTGACAACAATCCATGTATAGGGTGAATTTTAGTATAACAATGTGCTTGAATGTATGTATATGTTTTTGTGAGTGAGTGTTTATATGTATATACTCAGGTTCAATGAGTCTTTGTGTATTTAGTTTAATGAATGTGTATGTGTTATGAGTATGAGTTTGTGTTGAGCTATATTTCTATATGTTTGTGAATGAGTGTGTATGAGTGAGTGTGTGCATGTCTCATTATGAATATGTTTGTACTTGTATGTGTGTGTTTGCATATGATTGTGGAAAAGAATTTTTGGCTTTTGGTGGGAAAGCTTTTTACATTTTTCCTATATTCTGCTTGCATTTCATTTGGAATTTTATGCATTCTTCAAATTATTTTCTAATTTTTCTCAAGGCAAAGATTACAAGCTAAAAGAATTTGCCAAGTCCTTCCTTAGAGATTATCTCAAATCCAATGTTTTATATGCGGAGCATGCTTTCTTTACACATCATAGAAATAAAGAAATTGCATTTTAAATTGAGAATATGCTAATCTGTTTGGTCAAAAATCATTTTAAACACATTTTTAAAAGATTTAAATCTGCTATAAAGAATTTGCTCTCAGCAAGTTAGAAATTGACCCTGATAGAATTTTAGGGTTTCAAGAAGAAATTGGGACCACAGATTGGCAAATTCAAATTGTTGGAATACTAATCTTTCTATAATTCTGCAATGCACCTTTTGTGTCAATGAATCTTGGAAACAAGGAATAACATTCTGATGTGTTCTGGAATATGCTACACCATTCACCAATCATGGCTAATTTATGTTTAAAACGATATGTACATAATTAGTTGGGTTGCACTGAGCTTTTAGCTTCAAAAGTATTTTTTTAATCTCTTCACCACAAGGATTGCAATGAAACTATCAAGATACAAGAGGTTTACTGAGTGTGAGAAAAAAAAATAACCATTTCGGAGAGAGGACAATAAAAGGACAAGAATTAAGAAGACAGAAGATAACGATAGGCATTGCATTTAAATTTTTGAAGATCAAAGTTAATTGGGAAGCAAGAAACCAGAAGAGAGGTCCACATGCAAGAAGAAAAGAAAAGAAACTGTTAGTATAGAACTGATGGTTACATCTAACCATTCCAGCTATAAAATGATGAAATCTTGCTGCCAATCTAATCTTCTTCTTTACATGCTGTGTCCCCTCAGGACTATGACAATCATGGCTCTGTACAATTTCCTGCGCCTCAGAGCCCTTAATAAAATTTGCCTGTCTCCTTCTCAATACTGTTTTACCATCTATTTAATCAAGCTCATTATGTTATGCATGAGGAAAGAAGGTTTAGAAAATTTGACATTCACAGCACAT